GGCTGGATGTGGTGGTCTATACCTGTAAGACTTGGGAGTCGGACACTAGGGTATCATGAGGGTCAGGAGTCCAAGGTCCCATTTAGCTACATAGTAAATTCTAGAGTATGTGTGGCCCTTTGTGACGCTTTCTGGAAAGAGAGAAAAAGGAAGGAATGAAGGGAGGGAAGATGGGAAAATGAAGGGAAGACAAAGGAAAGAGTAGAGGGAAAGAGAAAGGGAAAATATTAGACAATCAAGATTGTAAGCAGTCTGCCTGAGCAGAAGTGAGTACAGTCTGGAGACACCTGTACCTCTCTCTTTGGCAATCAGACTACTGAAGCAATGGATCCCTAGAAATTAAATTTTCATCTCTGGAGAAAGACTTACAATTTGCCAGATAAGCGTGCAGGAGAAATTTGGAGCCAAGACAGCAGGGGTGGAGTGGGGGGAGTGAACACAGCTTGTCTGGACTGCTCAGTAATGCTTATCTCTTATCTTCCAGTTACACCTTACCCTCATAAGGACCCTGAAGATGGACTTAGGAGGTCGCCGGATCCCTCTGTACATCTTCCCAATGTATATGGCTACACTGAGCAAATCTCCTTTCTCTGTTTTTCACTATTATTTTAGCTCATACAATGAGTTGATCAAGGGCAGGGGCTGAACTTGGTGAGCTCCAGGTCTAGTAAGAGACCCCAACTCGATGAAGGGAGTGGAGCGCAATCAAAGAGGACACTGGTGTTAACTTCCGGCCTCCACAAGCACTTGCACTTACATCCATAGCTGTACTCGTAAACATTCAAATACACGTACAGGTGCAAAACAGTCAAACCAAAGGGAACAGAAAAGTGAAAATAAGGATGCCTGTGCCAGACAGTTTCATGTCACCTTGGCACAAGCTAATGTCATTTGAGAGGAAGGGACCTCAATGAAGAAAATGGCTCCATAGGATTGGGCTGCTGACAAGCCTGTAGGACATTTTCCTAATTAGTGACTCATGGGGGAGGGCCCAGTCCATTGAGGGCAGGTGGTCCAGTGGTGTTGTTTTTGCTTTTTTTTTTTTTTATTTTTGGGGGGTCCTCTACCCAGCTCCCAAATAATGACACATGGAAACTTTTTCTTCCTTATGAAGGCCCAGCCTTAGCTTTGCTTGTTTCTTGCCAGCTTTCCTTAACTTAAATTATCCTGTCCACCTTTTTTCTCTGGGCTTTTACCTTTCTCTATTTCTGTATCTTTTCTTTCCTTCTTACTGTGTCGGGTGGCTGGGTGGCTGGGTGGCTGTGTGGCTGTGTGGCTGTGTGGCTGTGTGGCTGGGTGGCTGGGTGGCTGTGTGGCTGGGTGGCTGGGTGGTTGGGTGGCTGGGTGGTTGGGTGGTTGGGTGGCTGGGTGGCTGGGTGGCTGGGTGGCTGGGTGGCTGGGTGGTTGGGTGGCTGGGTGGCTGGGTGGTTGGGTGGTTGGGTGGCTGGGTGGCTGGGTGGCTGGGTGGCTGGGTGGCTGGCCCCTCAAGCCCTCCTCTCCTTGTTCTCTTGCTCTTTTTTTCTTCTCCTCTCAGATTTCTCCCTCTATTTCTTCTCTCTGCCTGCCAACCCTGCCTATCCTTTCTCCTGCCTTGCTATTGGCCATTCAGCTCTTTATTAGACCATCAGGTGTTTTAGACAAGCACAGTAACACAGCTTCACAGAGTTAAACAAATGCAACATAAACATCTTTGCACCCTTAAACAAATGTTCCATATCACAAATAAATGTAACACATCTTAAAATAATATTCCACAACACCATGGTCTATAAGAAAGCAGGCCGAGTAAGCCATGGGGAGCAAGCCAATGAGCTGCACCCCTCCATGGCCTCTGCATCAGCTCCTGCCTCCAGTCCCAGCCCTGCTTTAGTTCCTGTCTCCCCCACTCTCCCCACCCCCCACATGTAAAAACAAAGAGCCTTTATTTCACACTCCAGAGCTTGGTCCCTCTGTCTATCAGACACAGTGGTGAGAGCAGAGAGCCCTGAGCTCAGGTCAGGCAGAATTTTTATCATAGCAGAGGTTGGGGTGAGAGGATTGCCAGGGTCCAGGACCCTGATTGGCTGACAATTGTCTAGGGGTATCTGTAAAACAAAAAAATAGGTGTGTACTATAGACTCAGGGACATCTGGCTACCTTTTCTAATGGTTGGAATGTTTGGGATGTCAGGTACTTCCTCACCCCTGGAATGATCCCTGGGTGGTATCAGCTTGAGGCTTTTCCTGGATCTGGGTGTTACCTGCCAGTAAGCCTGTCACAGAAGCTGTGTCTAGGCCTCTAAGCCTGTCTTGACTTCCTTTGGTGATGGACTACAGTGAGGGAGTATAAGCCAAATAAACCCTTTCCTCCCAACTTGCTTTTTGTTTGGGTCATGGTGTTTCTTCATAGCAATAGTAACCCCAACTAAGAAAAATACCAAACCAATTTTGCTTGATCTTTTAAACCTTTTGAGTAGTATAACTTCAAAAGCCACCCGAAATCAGTGGGTGTGCTGGCTCATCTATTGATTCCAGCACTCAGGAGACTGAGGCAGGAAGAGTGCCAGAAGTTGAAGGCTAGCCTGGGCTACATAATGGGGTCCTTATCTCAAAGAGGGAGCAATTACGTATGACCCTCTTTCTTAAGAAATCCACACTCACTTTTGGGGACATACAACTGCTTTTTCCCCCTAAATACTTTTATCTTTTTTTTTTTTTTTTTTTTTTTGGTTTTTCGAGACAGGGTTTCTCTGTGTAGCTTTGCGCCTTTCCTGGAACTCACTTGGTAGCCCAGGCTGGCCTCGAACTCACAGAGATCCGCCTGGCTCTGCCTCCCGAGTGCTGGGATTAAAGGCGTGCGCCACCACCGCCCGGCAATACTTTTATCTTTTCTCACTTTTTTTGTTTTGGTTTATTGGCACAGGGTCTTACTTAATGCAGACTAGACTGGATTCAAATTTGTTATCTTCTTTTCCCAGTCTCCCAAGTGCTGGGATTACAGGTATGAGCCACCATGCCCAGACTTATTATGTGGCCCAGGTTATTCTCAAAAATCACTATGTACCTCTGAATTTCTGGTCATCATGCTTCCTCCTCTGGAGGGCTGGGGTCATAGACTTGCACCACCATGCTTGGCTTCTGTGGTTCTGGGGTTGGAACCCACCACCTTGTCCATGCTAGGCAAGCACTCTTCCAATTGAGCTACATGCCAGTCCTATTCAAATCTCATTAAATTCCAGCTCTGCTTCATGAAGACCTAGCCTGAAGTTATTTTCTGCAGTGTAAGTCAAAGGTCCCTGCTTCCCATAAGGAGGGTTTCTGAACTCCTCAACTCTTGTTACCATTGCCACTTCACTAACAAGAAAATCTACTGGAGAAGAGGGAGTACACAGAACACTTCAGAGCTGAGCTACAAGAGCACATTTGGTTTGGCTTAGCTTCCAGAAAACCGTTCTTGTCTGGGAATTAAATACATACATATGTAATCAAAGGAAGACCAGAGAGGTGGAATTTCCAAAACAAATCTTGAGATATGGCTCCACTGAGGGACTTCTTGCCTTGCGGGGAGATTTTGTTGAGTCTAACAGCTAGGTGACATATTGCTGAGACCTTGTGGTATCGTTAAAAGAACCATATAGACTGCGATGCCCTTTAAACACCAGAAGATAGAAGATAAACATTACATACTTTCTTTTAATGAGCTGTCAAACAACACTCCGTGGAGACTTAGTAATTTTATGCAGTGAAGCTAGTTTAAGTGAATGTTAAGAAGAGCCCAGAAGAAGAAATGTATGTCAAAAGGCATCGCTGTGCATCAGGAACTATGGCTATGGAAAGGTGGCCTGGGGTACAGAGATAAGTTGGTGATTAAATGACATCTGGCCTAGGGTTCTGGACAGGAGCCTCTGGTATTCTGCTTGTGTGAGTCCTGGCCACTGTTTTCTTTTCCCCTAGGGCACTCCTGAGTCTCTAGGTCCTTCCTGCCAAAAAGGCCACCTCATTTTAAAATAAATTTGCCTGTTTGCCAAAATACCACTGTGATATATTTATTTATTTATTTTAACGATCTGATCCCTGGGATCCACATCGTGGAAACAATGAACTGGAGCACTCAGTCTTCTGAATTCCACACGTGCATGCTCACAGATAAACACATATAAGAAATATATACATGTAATCAAAATTCTAAGCAATCATATCAGGTCATAAAATTCAGTACTACATTCAAGTACTGTTTGAAGTGGGAACATTTCAGGCAGCAGAGAAACGGGTCTGGTGTTCTAGAGACCAGGTTAGGGAACCTCATTTTCAAAATGAGGTTTGCAAAGGCTGCCCCATGTGACCTGCCTCTGGCTTGTTTCATCCATTAAAAGGAAGTGTATCAGCAACCCTTTCAGCATTGTGGTAACACTGTGAAGAGCAAGATGGGACAAATAATTCAAAAGAAGATTCCAAACAACAGCAATACGGAAAGTAAAGCACCATTCATTTCCTCCTCTGTAAAGTGCGAATAATGACACTGACCGGCTGCGGAGGGCTGGGTAGGGGAACTGTCAGTTTGCAACGTTTCAAACACAAACCATCCTTGGTAGTTCCCCTCCAAATATGAGCCGCAGCACCTCCCTCGGCCTCTCTAGCTCTCCTGTTCTGGCTGCTTCCGTGGTTTGCGGAAAATGTAGTGCTCTCTGGGTAATTTCCACCACAGTGAGTGCAAGGCGGAGGAAAGGGGGAGAACTATTTTGTGGTCGCGTTGAAGATCTAGGTGGAAAAAATCAATCTGAAGACAGCCGGCACGGTGCACACTTCCCCTTTGGGAGCAGCAGGCCTCAGCGCTGTCTGTCCACCAGCAGAGTCTGAGTGGAGAAGGGAGGAGCTAAGAGGCAGGGGAGGCGTGGGAGAGGGAGGCAGGGGCGGGCCCCCGGGGCGTCGGCCAATCAGAACGGACCCCGCCAGCGGCCAATCATAGCTCGCCTAGCCTGGCAAATCTGCCCGGCAGTGCGGGGCGGGGCCGCCAGAGTCCCGGGGCCGCCGGTTACACTTCGGAGAGCGTTTCAGGAAAGCACAGGGCAGGGGGCAGACAAGCCGGGTGGGGGCGGGTGGCAGGCAGGCCCAGGCTGGGTGCTAGCCCAGGGACACCCACGGAAGCACCCATGAACTAGAGATGGTGCAACCCGGGCGCGCACGTGTTGTGCAGCCCGCTGCATGTCTCTATACCCTGTGGGCACCTGTCGTGTGAGTAGCTGCGGGTGTGGCTCTTCCTGGATGCTGTGGGTGTCAGTGAGGTTTGTACCTTCGGGCCTGCCTCCCCCGTCTCCCGAGGGAAACTAAGAAGTTTAACTGAGCAGGGACACTGAGGAGATTAAGGGAGTGGATCTCAGAAGCGAGGCGGAGAGGGTGGGGACTGCGGGCACAGCGGGTAGGGAAGCACCTAGTTAACCCATCTCCCGGCCAGAAAAAGCGTCTTGAAAAGGCTGGCGTGACCCATGTGCTCTGAAATGTCTAGAGAGCCCCGAGCGGTGATGATCACAGAGTGAGTGGCACTGGGCTGAGCCTGTCTAAATCGTGGACAAGAGGGATGCTAGCATTTAGAAAGGCCAGGAGGAAACTCAGGATGGGCACCATCTGCTCTCCCAATCCCAGCGGGACAAAGGCGGCCTCGGAGGTCTGCAATGCTGACTGGATGGCCTCGCTCCCCCCTCACCTCCACAACGTCCCCCTTTCCAATCTGGCAATCCCAGGTATTCGTCTATAACTACTTGTTCACACTGTGTTTAATTCTGCCATTTTAGTATTTGTTAATGGGCTGGGTTGTTTTCTGTTGTGTTGAAAAAAAAAATTGTCAGTGATCTCTTTTATTTCCAAATAAAAAACTTAACAGGAAGGTAGCTGCTTGAAAGAGAGTCAGGCAGACTGCATCACTGGCCAAGGGGACAGTCGGAAGAATGGAATCACTGCACTGTTGTTTTCTTGTTTTTATTTTGTTTATACCTTACAGCCTCAATCTAAGATTGTTAACCTTCTTAATATTGAGCTCCGGGTATGTGAAGGGCTCATTGACTTGTATCATTCAAGGAAAAGGGGGAGAGATCAAGGATAATGGATAAAAAGTCGTTAACAATCTTAGCTTTGGATCAAAATTAAAGCTGAAAAATATTTCTTTTCTCGTTTATCTGACCTTGTGTGGGGAAAAAAATCAGATAACTATTAGAAAATAGGTTCAGACTCGGGGCTAGATATGGAGGCACATAGTTTTGTTGTTGGAAAATCCAGAAATAGAGGCGGCAAGCTGTCCTCACAGGCAGTCATTAGGTGTGATGAAGTGATAGTGTTTGAAGCTTTGTCTATATATACACAGGTGTCTGCCTGGCTGATCTAGAACTGTAGCCTTGAAAAGCACCCCTGTTCCTGCTGCATCCCCTGCCAGAGGCTTTAAAGCTTGACATCACTCTCCAGCAATCAGTTCATCTTTCCTCGGAAAGGGTTGTTAGAGCATGATTGTCTTGGGAAGGATGTTTAGACCACACTGAGCTTGGCTTGGTGAGGTGAGCAAAGTCCTGTGATGCTGGTACTTAGAAAGCACTCAAGGAGCAAGGGGTGGACTGGTTCTTTCTCTTTCTTGGACACGTAGCAATTAAAGTTCACCTTTAGACTATCAGACAAACTCACAAACATTCCCTGGACCTCTCTACTTTTTTTCTGCATTAAAAGATGACCTCATACCACTTCCATCTGCTTTCTATGCATGGGGAAGAGGGATGCTGGCTTTGGATGCAGGTTTTGCCTTCCTCCCTCTTCTTTTGGAGCTCTTCCAGGATCGTTGTCCTCATGGGCCCTCACTGCTGCTGAACAAGGGAAAGGTTGCAAAATTTTGTTACAGTTACAACAATCGCTTCTGTTTTACTGGCCCTTAACTACAGTTCCTTGGGAAATGCCAGATGGCCATGCTTTAGAACATGTCTTTTCCATGTTTAATTGATGCCTATGGAGTCATCTCCAAAACGATGCATGGGACACTTTTAACATGAGTCATTTGCCTTCCGGCTCCTCGATGGAATTATTTTGCTGAGTGATATGGCAGGCAGTTCATGTTTGCAAACAGAATGGCATCTTAGGCAGGTCCTAAATGACCCTGTCATTCAGGGCATGTCCCAGTAGGCTGGGCTTCCTTCTTCCTTGTACTTTGGACAGTTCAAACTGTAGTTCTATTGGACTTGACTGTGAACTCTGACTGACTCTACAAAGAATATGAGTGTTTGTTCTTGATCCATAGTATGTTTCAGTTATTAGAATTGCCAGAGGAAGCAAAATTCTTGAGAACCACTGCCTTACTGGGAACTCGGTATTAGTTCTATGAAGCACTCAGGGTTTGTTGACCCTACTCTGTGAAGCAAAGTCTTCCTGCTAAGTGGAAAAGAAAATAGTGTCCTCGACTTCCCTAAACAGGTTGCATTTACTGCCATGAAATGTCTTTTTCCCAGGAATGGAAGAGACATATGTAGGTATGTCAGCTCAGAACAGGAAATTCAAACATTAAGTACCATCCATGTATTGCTGGTTACCAGCCCCCATTGCTGGTTATCTTTACTGCACCCTGACTTTTAATGTGTCCCAGAGAAAGGCTTGCAGTCAGGTTCAGCCTAGCTTTGATGAGAAATAAAAATTTATGGAAGGTGTTCAGGAAGAGGGCTCCCATCATCGGCCCCTTCCTCTGTGTTATTGCTACCTTCGTCATAACCACCACAACCCCCAACAGATACACACTTTTTTTTTCTAGCCTTTCTTTGAGAAACATCTCCCCTATGTAGCCTAGCCTGGCTTCAGCCTTCCAAATTGCAGCCATGGGCCACCAGGCCTGGTGGTAACTATCCGTTATTGAGTTCCACCCTGAAGTACCCACTGTCATACATTACCTCAAGTACTTATACTTCCCATGAAATCAATAGATATTAGTACCCTCATTTTTGGAAAGGGAAATTAGGGGTTGTGGGGTAGCTCTGTTGGTAGAGTGCTTGCCTACCATGGATGAGTCTGATCCCCAGGAGCATATAAATGGAGTGGAGGACAAGCAGGAAGATTGGGGGTTCAAGGTCAGCCTCTGTTGCATAGTGAGTTTGAAACCTGTCTCAAAAAAGAAATAAGGAAATTATCATCTGGAAAATTTACATTGTTTTCTCAAGATTGCGTATATGCTGAGTGGCAGAGCTAGTATTTAAGTGCTTATGTAACAAAAACACTCATTCACTGCCTCGGTGCCCTTGAGGGGCCTTGGGAAGTACAGAGGAGTAGAGATGGTTCCTGGCTGAAAGGCAGATTTCCGAGACCATGCTCTGCAGTATGTGAAAGGAGTGGTAAAAACTGGATGGGTTTTTGTTGTCATTATTCATTCGTTTGTTTGTAACAGAGTCTCATGTAGCCTTGGCTGGCCTGGGACTCCTGATTCTTCTACCTCTACCTCTCAAAGGCCAGGGACTGAAGGCCTTTGAGAGGGGACTGTAGTCCACCACACCCAGCCTGAATTAGGTGGTTTTCATCTGAGCAATCATGTATCAGTTTGAACGCTAGCTAGATACAGAGGAAAGCTGTCTAGAGAGAGGTAGAATATACATGTGAATGATATCAGGTACATAGACATTAGATATATGATGGATAAATAGACAGACAGATATAGATAGATAGATAGATAGATAGATAGATAGATAGATAGATAGATAGATGACAGGCAGACTTGTTTGAATTCTAACCCAGTAAGACTGAAATTCAGAAGTGGTGCTTTGATGCCCTGTGTCTGTGTGCTGAGCCAGATCCATCAGGAGGGTGCCTATGGCAGCAGTGACATAGGAAATGTCGGGAAAAGAGTGAGGGGTCTGGCAATCATAGGTCTGGATGGAGTTAATTATGTCAAATGTGGGAGCACCTGCTGCATGTGCCTAGGCATTGATGGGAGACAACACATGTGGACGTGTGCTCTCAACAGAGCCCTGGTGGATTACTTTACTTCCGCAACTGTTAACCCCACCTGTTAAGCTCCACGGTCACTCAAACATATTGAATTATCTTGGAGGAGAATCTGAGAGTTATTCTCATTCCCAACTGTGTCTAGTCATTTGATCTCTACAAGGTAAAAGATCTTGAAATTATAAGATGCTAGTTTTTAAAATTAAAGTTTACTATACAAATACTTTCCTTGATGCTATTGACATTTTCTGAGAGGGAATAGTTTTTCTTTCATTTTCTTTTATCTTTCTTCTTTCTTTCTTTCAACTATATAATGTATACCATTTCCCTCCCTCCCTTCCTTCCTTCCTTTCTTTTTCTTTTAACGGTGTTTCACTCTGTAGCCTAAGCTGGCCTGGAACTCACCAAATCCTTCATCTTCTGCCTCCCAAGTAGATGGTTAGGACTACAGTGTGAACCACCGCACTTGGCTCTATACCGATTTCGAATGAGTTTGTTTTCTCTGTATTTGTTACTGTTCTGCCCTTTTCTTCCTTTGTTTTTATTTTTTCTTTTCTTTTGGGGGGTGCTTTGTTGGTGGTGGTGGTTTTTTTTTTTCTTCAACAATGTTCTTTCTCCTCTATTAAAGGTAAGGTATTTGGCTTGGGAAGAGCCTTCTTGAGTTGAAGGCTCTTGGGTCATACTGTTGATTCTGGCTGTGGTATGAAATAGCAGTATTTCCACTTGTGATTAAGATATTGATTAAGACCTGGGCATGGTGAGTCACATTTATAATTCCAGTGCTTGGAAAGTTGAAACAGGTGAATTGCTGCAAGTTCTAAGCCACTCTTGGCTACGTAGTAAGTTTCAGGCCAACCTGGGCTACAGAATGAGACTCATCTCAAAAAGTAAGCATATTAAAAAATACACTGAGTTCAAAGAAATTCTTAATCTTTTTTTTCAGATTAAAGATTAATTCAGAGTTTGAGAGTTTTTTGTTTGTTTGTTTGGTTGGTTAGTTGGTTGGTTTTTGTTGTTGTTTTTCAAGACAGGATTTCTCTGTGTAACAGCCCTGGCTGTCCTGGAACTCACTTTATAGGCCAAGCTGACCTGGAACTCACAGATATCATTCTGCCTTTGCCTCTACTGGGATTAAAGACATGCACCACCACTGCCCAGCTTGATTAAAGGTTTTAAAAACCAGTTCTTTATTAAAATATAGAAGTATTGGAAAGGATAGCTGAGTCCTTTTAGATCTGGAGGGCGTTTTTTATGTCCCTTTGAAACAAGAAATTAGTTTTAGTTCCAACAAGAGCATAATTGTGTGCAAGGAAGCAGGATCTACCTCATTGTATCCTGAGTGCATTCTAAGAAAACCCCACTTTTAAAGAGCTAACCCAGCAATGTAAAGCTACCTCTGCAGACCTCCCCACCGTATACAGTTAAGAGCAATCTGAGATAAATGTCAAAACAGATGCAGATAATGTGTGGCAGAAGCACACAGAATGGACAGAGCAACTCCATTTCGTATTCTCAGCTTTGCTGGGAAAATGGCATTCGACCTAGTTTTGAGGAATGGTTACAGAGGGGGTCGGGTAGCTGGAGCCTCTGACTCCAGCACTTGAGAGGCTGAGGCATCAGGAAGGCCTCTATGAGTGTGAGGTCAGTCTGGGCCACAGAGTGAATTCTACATAAGCTTGGGCTACGTGAGACCCTGAGAGAGAGAGACAGACAGAGACAGAGACAGACAGAGAGACAGAGACAGAGAGAGACAGAGACAGTTAGTAGGTGGGTCAGGACTATA